ACATTGGGGGCAAATGCATGGTGTAACCAGTCATAGAAAAAGTCCCTAGTGACCCATGCCTTACTGTTTGCCCTCCACAGCACACACAAATTAGCCTTGAGGATATTCTTTTGCCTGAACACTCTGGGAGTTTCTGAGTGATACACTAATAAAGGCTTCACTTTGCAATCACCACTAGCATTGGAACACATCAACAGAGTAAGCCTGTCTTTCATAGGCTTATGTCCTGGGAGTGCCTTTTCCTCCTGAGTAATATAGGTCCTGCTTGGCATTTTCTTCCAAAACAGGCCTGTTTCATCACAATTAAACACTTGTTCAGGTTTCAGTCCTTCACTGTCTATGTACTCCTTGAATTCCTGCACATATTTTTCAGCTGCTTTGTGGTCCGAACTGGCAGCCTCACCATGCCTTATCACACTATGTATGCCACTACGCTTCTTAAATCTCTCAAACTAACCTTTGCTGGCCTTAAATTCACTCACATCATCACTAGTTGCAGGCATTTTTTTAATTAAATCCTGATGCAATTTCCTAGCCTTTTCACTTATGATCACTTGAGAGATGCTATCTCCTGCTATCTGTTTTTCATTTATCCTCACCAATAAGAGTCTCTCAACATCTTCCATCACTTGCGATCTCTGTTTCGAAAACACAATTGAACCATTGGCAAGAACAGCTTCCTTGATTGCCTTTTTGTTGCCCACAATAGTAGCGATGGTTGACTGGGCTTTATTATACAACCTGGCCAGCTCGGAGACACGCACTCCACTTTCATACTTATCAATGATCTCTTTCTTCATCTCTATAGTAATTCTCACCCTTATTCCTGTAGGGTTGGCACTAGAAGCTTTCTTGGGGCCCATGGTCACTTATTTTGCAGATAAAATCACCAAAAACACTGTAATAATATGAAATGTTCTGATTGTATGCTTGGATGTTACCGCGGAGGCTGGCTGGTAAACAATGCCACCGGCGGAACATGTGAGGCTGGCTTAGGCAGCACATTAGACGCGTCTCGGACGAACAGCGTTGAGCGGGTTTTTTAGCGGTATGCGAGGCAAAATCTTAGCGATAAAATGTATCGGTATGCTGATTTAACGTTATGTAAGGCCAACAGTATGCGGGGGTCCACTGTATATGAAAATAGACCACAAAGTCGGCATTTTAATAAAAAAAAAACGGTTGGAGTTTTTTTTTCTCATTATGCACTGCATGCTGCAGGATTTTTTTTGTATGGTGCACACTGACACACAGACCCATTCTCTCACATGTGGGCCTACCAGCTTTCTCCTGCTTGATTTGAAGCCGCTAGAAATTGAGAGTATACATACGTCAAAAACGGTGGCTCATAAGACACACATATACGACCAAAATAGTCAAAGGGTTAAAATTAGTCATTTACATTTATTTCTCATTGTTTTCTCTATGTAAAACTATAGTTATTCTCTATAAAATGTATTTCTTGTTAATATTTTTGGGTGTCTGAATTGGATTGTAATTGGATTTACATTACAATGCACCCCCGGTATTCAATGGCATCAGTATTCGATAAATCCAGTATTCGATGCATTATATCGCAAAAATTTTGCCTCGATATCCAATCGAAAACCCGGTATTCGATACGATTTGTACGAGATGTGTCCACGTGTGGCCTGAACTGCCCCGTGTGTGCCAGTGTTTACAAGCCAACCAGTGTGCGTGCATCTAAGGATACATTCAGTACATTCCATATTATCCATATTATCACCGTTTTTGGTGCTTCTTTCTGCAAAATAAGTCACCATGGGCCCCAAGAAAGCTTCTAGTGCCAACCCTTCGAGAAAAAAGGCGCTAATGACTATTAAAATGAAGAAAGAGCTAATTGCAAAGTACGAAAGTGGAGTGCGTGTGTCGTAGCTGGTCAGGTTGTATAATAAACCCCAATCAACCATCTCTACTATAGTGACCAGGAAAACGGCAATCAAGGAAGCTGTTCATGCAAAAGGTGCAACTGTGATTACGAAACAGCGACCGCAAGTGTTAGAAAATGTTGAGAGACTGTTATTGGTGTGGATAAATGAAAAACAGATAGCAGGAGATAGCATCTCTCAAGCCATCATTTGTGAAAAGGCTAGGCAGTTGCATGACGATTTGGTAAAGAAATTGCCTGCAACTAGTGCTGATGTGAGTGAGTTTAAGGCCAGCAAAGGTTGGTTTGAAAGATTTAAGAATCGTAATGGCATACACAGTGTGGTAAGGCATGGTGAGGCTTCCAGTTCAGACCAAAAAGCAGCTGAAAAATATGTGAAGGAATTCAAGGATTACATAGACAGTGAATACTTGAAACCTGAACAAGTGTTTAATTGCGACGAAACAGGCCTGTTTTGGAAGAAAATGCCAAGCAGGACCTACATTACTCAGGAGGAAAAGGCACTCCCAGGATATAAGCCTATGAAAGACAGGCTTACTCTTCTCATGTGTGCCAATGCTAGTGGTGATTGCAAAGTGAAGCCTTTATTAGTGTATCACTCTGAAACTCCCAGAGTGTTCAGGAAAAACTATGTCCTCAAGGCTATTTGTGTGTGATGTGGAGGGCAAACAGTAAGGCATGGGTCACTAGGGACTTTTTCTATGACTGGTTACACCATACATTTGCCCCCACTGTGAAAAATTACCTAATTGAAAAGAAATTAGACCTTAAGTGCCTCCTGGTATTAGACAATGCCCCTGGCCAACCTTACAGACTTGGCAGAGCGACTTTCTGGGGACATGAGCTTCATTAAGGTCAAGTTTTTGCCTCCTAATACCACTCCTCTCCTGCAGCCCATGGACTAGCAGGTCATTTCCAACTTCCAGAAACTGTACACAAAAGCTATGTTTCAGAAGTGCTTTATAGTGACCACAGAAACTCAATTGATTCTAAGAGAGTTTTGGAAGGATCACTTTAATGTCCTCAATTGTATTAACCTTATAGGTACGGCTTGGTAGGGAGTGACTAAGAGGACCTTGAACTCTGCTTGGAAAAAACTGTGGCCAGAATGTGTAGACAAAAGGGATTTTGAAGGATTTGAGGCTAACCCTGAGAATCCTATGCCAGTTGAGGAATCCATTGTGGGATTGGGGAAGTCCTTGGGGTTGGAGGTTAGTGGGGAGGATGTGGAAGAGTTGGTGGAGGAGGACAATGAAGAACTAACCACTGATGAGCTGATAGATCATCTTCAACAGCAAGAGGCCACACTTGAGGAAACTGCTTCGGAGGAGGGGAGAGAGAAATTGAAGAAGTTGCCTACTTCAAAGATTAAGGAAATGTGTGGAATGTGGCTTAAAGTGCAAACCTTTTTTGATGACAATCGCCCTAACACAGCTATTGTAAGCCATGCTGGTGACTATTACACTGACAATGTTGTGAACCACTTTAGGAATGTCATAAAGGAACGGCAGGTACAGGCCACTATGGACAGATATGTTGTGCGACAGAAATCCAGTGACTCTCAAGCTGGTCCTAGTGGCATTAAAAGAAGAAGGGAAGTAACCCCGGAAAAGGACTTGCTACTTCAAGTCCTAATGGAAGGGGATTCCCCTTCTAAACACTAACACCTCTCCCCTCCTCCCATCCCATCAATCATCACCAGATCTTCATTAAAGGTAAGTGTCAATTATTTTATTGTTACTGTAATTATTCTATTGCATTAAACTTAATATTTCATGTAGTAAAATGTTTTTTTTTTTTCATACTTTTGGGTGTCTTGCACAGATTAATTTGATTTCCATTATTTCTTATGAGGAAAATTGATTCGGTTTTCGATATTTTCGGTATTCGATGAGCTCTCAGGAACGGATTAATATCGAATACCGGGGGTCCACTGTATTTCTTATGGGAAATATTACTTCTATTTTCGGCCATTGCAGATTTCAGCTAACCTTCTGGAATGGATTAATTACGAAAACTGGGGGTCTACTGTATTATTATTTTTATAGCAAATTAGCAATTATTGGGGTTTCATTGAATGTCTCTCAAGGACAGATGATGGGAAAGTAGACTAATTGGCTTACACCACCTGTGGAAGAATTATTGTTAGGAAGGGTGGAAGTGAAGTAGAATGTGTGGTATACATTGTTCATCAGTGATGGTTTACTTGGTCTGCACACAACCTTCGGTGTTACTGGTGTTCTTTGTATGATCTTTCTCTACCACACCCTTGTAATACATCGTTCTTCCATTCATTTACATTTAATTTTTGTTTGTTGTAGCCTCTCTATTTTTCTCTGTGCTTTCTCACTAATGTACATTTATTATGTCAGGTCATTTTTTTTTCTATACTTCACTGTTATTATGAATGCATAGCAGTCAGTTCATGTTTATGCAAGCCATACTAGCATATGGAATTTAATTGAAGAATAACAGTTTCCAAATTCAGGTCGGCCATCACTAATCCTGCATCATTGGGACCTGTAGTTTGCCAGATTACAGAGTGGTAAGGTTAGAATACACTTAATTAACCTATCAGTAGAGACTTTTTCTGCTACATCTTCCTCATTTTAATCACTGCTTTCTCCTCCACTGGCTTGCTGCTGTGGATTTACAACCATCTACATTTTTTCTGAGTCAGTATAATGATGAAATTTGAAATTATGGTAGCTGAAATTAGTGATGGATTACTGATGGAACCAGATAACTGATTGCTGGATTAGTGATGGCTGACCTGTATAAAGAATGTGTCAGTTGGATGCATTGTTGAAGCTTTTGTATGAGAGAATTCATTGAGACAACACATTCTCTGATGAGTCATCTGATGGGTCTAAGAGAATTAGATGATGCAAACTTTCAGACAGTTTAGATATCTTGATTTACTTTTTATTCCACATAAGTCGATAAATTGATTGTTAGATCTTTAATATTCAAATATGTTATTCATGTAAATTTTGATACACCTGTATTTATAAGAAGAGGTATGTTGAGAGACTTTCCAAGTGTAGTAATTTAATTTTAATGTTTAAAATTGTTTCTTGTATTTTTCTAGCTGAGTGTAGCATTGACGTCAGCATTTGGGCGTGATTCAGAGGGAGCAGCTTGGACTCTCAACTACTTACTGTCTGTTGTAGAACAGACATTGAGACTTCGCAGTTCTGAACCTGGTCTAGTCGAAGATACAGTTAATCTCTTGGTTACAATGGTTGATAGTAAGGAGAGGTGAGTAAACTTTGTGGCAATGAAAGATTTTGCAGTATTAAATTGAGCCTTGCTCATTTACAGTAACACTGTAAATTTAGATGTATATCCAGCTTCTCTCACTTTATATTTGTATTTTGCTGAATTCAGTTTTGTCTTATACCTGAACAAAATACAGCTGATGCCAGAATGAAATTGTCAGGCATAATCTACCAAGCACTTGATTAGAATAATAATCCATTTTAACCCGTAAACGGTCCAAACGTATATATATGTTTTTTCAACATTTGAAAGCATGTAAAAAAAGTAGATCTTCATTTTGTTTTTTTACATTTGAAAATGTGTAAAAAAAAACTTTGATCTGCTTTTTTTTTTTTTTTTGTTATATTTGAAAATATGTAAAAAAAAACGTAGATCTACTTTTGTAGCACTACACATGTGAACGTAGATCTGCTTGGACCGTTTACGGGTTAATAATATGTCAACTTTGGAAAAACTGGCGGCCCTAAACACCTTCCCATTAACTCTAGAACTGTTTCTAACATAGTTAACAGGGAACTAGGTTGTTCCTGACATCCTAGTATGCATGTGCTTCAAATTGGATACACTGCCATTTTAGGCCTCGTCTGAATTCTTCTGATTGCCAGGCACCTGTCCCTCTTAGGAAAAAAAATCATTCTGCATGGGTGGGCACAGGGCAATATGGGTAATATCACTAAGTACAGTGGTCCCTCGTTTTTCGTAATTAATCCGTTCCTGGAGTCGTTACTATAAACGAAATTTACGATTTGCAAATCAATTTTCCCCATAAGAAATAATGTAAATACAATTAATCCATTCCTGACACCCAGAAGTATTAAAACAAAAAAAAAATTTACATGAAATATACATGTAGTACATAAACAATACAGTGGAAAATGATGAATGAAACATTAACTTACCTTTATTGGAGATTCTTTTTAGTGTGTGGGAGACTGGAGGAGGAGAGAGATTGGATTGTTTACAGTTTGGAAGGGGAATCCCCTTCCAGCAACACCTCACGTACCAATTGCTTCTCTGGGGTTGCTTCTCTTCTCTGTTTCTTAATGCCACTAGGACCAGCTTGAGAGTCACTCTAGTCCTGTCTCGCAAAGTAACTGTGGAGAGAGCTCTGTTTCTTGCGTCTCTTTAACACTTCCCGAAAATGGCCCAAGACTTTGTCACTGTACATATTTCTCACCTTCTTTACCACAGACTTGGCACTAGGAGCTTTCTTTGGAGCCATGGTAGCTTATTTAGTAATTGCAAGCACTAAAATGAGTGGAATATTATGAAATATTTCGTAGGAGCACTTGAGGGGACCTTCACTCACTGGTAAACAATGCCAGACTGGCTGGGTAGGGAGGCCGCCCCGGCTCACACCGTGCGTACGTGTCCCGGACAAACTACTATTCGCGAGTCAACCTATGAAAAGCGAGTCCATGTTTATATGAAAATACCCCTATGATAGGCGAAATTTACGATTGCCGAGAACTACGAAAAGCGAGGGACCACTGTAATGAGTTTCACAATAATAAGCTGACAAACCAACCTGACTCACAGCAAAATAAAACATACTTTGAGACACAGATTCCAGTGGGAGGGAGGGAAAACAATGCAAGATAATTTTCTGGTTTTGAAAGCAGTCACCATGGTAGTAAGTTCAAGAAAATAGTAAACTTTAGTCCCACACACCATATAGCAGTGGCAGCCACATCTGGTCTTACTACACAGCAAAGGAAAAGAAGAATAAAGCTCTTTACCTAGGAAATAAAACTGATAGTAGTAGTAATGGTGGTGAGGAGAGTAAAGAGGAATATATTTATGAGGCACAGTTCTAAATCATGTAGAAGTGACATTTATTACTCTCCTATCAAAAGAAAACTCAAGTGACATTGTACTACATTCACTTCTGCCTCACATGCAGTTTGCTTTTTATGGTAAAACAACTGGAAAAGCTGAAAACGTAGCAGGAAATGGTGATGGTGAAGATCGTGGTGTGTACATTGGTCTCAGTAATAGATCATCACCCATGACAACACCAGCAGCTGTGACACCATCAACATTACAGTAACAGTAGTACAGGTCCGCCATCACAAATCCGGCAATCAGTTATTCGGTTCCTTCAGTTATTCGGCACTAATTTTGGCTAGCATAATTTCAAATTTCTAGGGTCACCACACCAACCTGCTGGTACTGTTTGGTGGCGCTGTATAAGTCATTCCAATTTCTTTTTCTCCATTTATTGTTTTAACCTGCTTACTTTTAGCCCTAGCCATGGTTTCAATGAATAAAAGAAATGCTTCTCATTATGTAAAGCACCTACACAGTACATTATCCATTAAAGATAAGGTGGCTTTGAAGCCACTGTTGGTTGCCATGAACTCAGTCTCATGATGCAGGAGAATATGCTTTATTATTACGCTAATATCAACACTACAGCTTATTTGCCTATCACAATTGATCTAATATGATATAAGAAACAATATAAATAATATAAAACATGTTAAATACTCCAGAATGAATAATATTTGGCATAACACCGAGCAGTTCGACAGAGTTATGAAGAGGATATGGTAAACAAATACCATTCTCCTATCCTTGTCTTGGTGGCTTATATTAGAGAAAACAGAGTATAGCACAGGGCTAACTGTGATATACACTCGTACTCCATCATAAACATGAAACAAAAAAGTTATTTTCTCTCTGTAGATTATCACACATAGCAGCATATGTGTAGAGAACCTAGGATAACCCCAAAAAAAAGTCAATGTGGCTTATTTTTAGTACCTGGCTTGGATTAGCCATATATGATTTTTGGTAAATATTCGATTCCCAGCCAGGGTAGAAACATTAGGCGTGTTTCTTTACACCTGTTGTCTATGTTTACCCATCAGTAAATGGGTACCTGGGTGTTAGTCGACTAGTGTGGGTGTTATCCTGGGACACTGACCTAATTTTCTTGAAATACTCAGCTTAACAAGTTCCTTTCTATACAGTAGTATGTCACTCGTATTGTAGATAGTGACTCTCGTATTGTAGATAGTCTTACTGACCCTCGTGTAGCAGATAGTCTTTTTAATATGATAATAAGATGTTATCTTCATTACAGAATAATAAGAAAATATTATAACATTTATATTATAATAAGGTAAAAGGACCCCAATGGAAATAAGTCACTGTGTCTGACTTTTTTGGGTTATCCCAGGTTCTCTACACATATGCTGCTATGTATGATAATTCTATGTAACTGTATTTGTGTATACCTGAATAAACTTACTTACTGATGTCAGCTAGGCCTGTATACCATGTACATTTATGTGTAGTAAATAAAGATATTATTATTATTATTATTATTTTCTCAGTTGTTTCTTGGGATATCTGATTCAAACTTGGGCAATGTATGATGGAAAGGTACTTCTTCACGTACACCAAAAATGAAAGAAATCAGACCATAAATAGCGGAGTTCACTTCTCAGCCATTAGCGGCCGCTTAGCGGTATATTTTTGTATGGTTGTTATGGCTATATTCTCATTTTTCTGTCTCATTTGATAGAATGAAAGATATATTACAGAAATATATATGATTTTGATTGCTTTCATGAAGAAAAGTACCTTGAAATTGCGCTCACAGTAGCGAAAATGTTCTATTCTTTAGCGATGCTCAAGAGTAAACAAATGACGTCACCGTCCAATACCTGTCCGCCTGCCAGTCCAAATTCCAGTACGGAGTCAAGAATGGATTGACATTATTTATACAATTATTACAATAATGCAGCAGTCTGCATAACAGTAAATCTTCTATTTTTTTTGTGAATAAAAATTCCAAATGGTAAGCAAGAGTAATATAAGAGGGGCCTGGAGCCGTGACTAATGAACAGAGAAAATGTTATTTTAGTGCCAGGAATGTGTACATTGTTTATTCTGGACCCTATTTTGAAATTGGCATCTGTTGAAATTTGTGTGAAATCGGCCAAATTGCCAATTTCTGACCACTTTATTGGGTAGTTGAAATAAGTGAATGGGCGGTTTCTTGTACTCAGCTGACAGACTAGAAGTAAATAAGTGTATTAAGGTATACACAAATACAGTTACATAGATTATCATACATAGCAGCGTATGTATAGAGAACCTAGGATAACCCAGAAAAGTCAAAGTGACTTATTTCCAGTACCTGGCTTGGGCTTGCTTGCCATATATGATTTTTGGTAAATATCTTTTTTTTTCTCGGTTGTTTGTTGGGCTATCTCATTGAAACTTGGGCAATGTATGATGGAAAGATGCTTCTTAACGTACAACAAAAATAAAAAAGATGGACGATAAATAAGGGAGTTCACTTCTCAGCCTTTAGCCGCCTCTTTGCAGTATATTTTTGTATGGTTTTTATGGTTGTATTCTCATTTTTTGGACTCATTTGATAGAATGGAAGATATATTACAGAAATAGACATGATTTTGATTGCTTTCATGACGAAACGTACCTTGAAATTGAGCTCAAAGTAGCGGAAATGTTTGATTTTTGCCGATGTTCAATGAACTGTGTAAGTCAACTTGGTTAATTTTATTAAGTGTATTCTAACTTAACCACTCTGTAATCCGGCACACTACAGGTCCCAATGATGCCGGATTTGTGATGGAGGACCTGTAGTGACAATACTGTCACCCATGACAACACCAGCAGCTGTGACACCATCAACATTACAGTAACAGTAGTAGTAACAGTACCGTCACCCATGACAACACCAGCAGCTGTGACACCATCAACATTACAGTAACAGTAGTAGTGACAGTACCGTCACCCATGACAACACCAGCAGCTGTGACACCATCGACATTACAGTAACAGTAGTAGTGACAGTACCGTCACCTATGACAACACCAGCAGCTGTGACACCATCAACATTACAGTAACAGTAGTAGTAACAGTACCGTCACCCATGACAACACCAGCAGCTGTGACACCATCAACATTACAGTAACAGTAGTAGTGACAGTACCGTCACC